GTTAAAGCATAAACCAAGATCCCTATGTACTTTACAGAAAAGGTACATCATATCAGAAAAATAAAAACCAGACCTCATGCAGTGCAGGAGCATCGTTAGTGCCATCTCCAGTGACAGCAACCACGTGTCCCTTCTTTCTAAGTGCTTGCACAAGCAATAATTTATCATTCGGTGATGACCTTCCCATTACCTGAACGTATTAATGGTGCAAAAACCCATTAGGACTAACTTAACAGCCAGAAGTGACAGTTAACAACAAATTTAACCGCCCAAGAAAGTTTTCAGCTCATACCGATATTTTATCTACCACTTCTAGTCTTTGCGTTTCAGTAAGACTACGAAATGTCCTCCCTTCGATAAGATCAGGCTCAGTGGCATCTGCATTTGAACCTAATACACCGCACTCTAAAGCTATTGCACGAGCAGTCTGAAGGTTGTCTCCAGTGACCATTCGTACCTTGACATTTGTAAATCAAAATACCGACATTAGCACACAAAGAGGACAGAAAAAAATACAATTTCAAAGAACAAACATCCATGACACATTTAAACAAACAGAAGAATATATGTTTCTCGAATCTGATAAGGACAACATTGAAAGATCACAGCTCATTGTACTGGGACTAATTGTTAGGATGGAATGTGATTCAGAAAGTTCATGATCTAATTGTTAAAAAATCACACAGTATCAACCGATTTTTTCACTACATGAACTTCAAATGAAGATATCCTTAACATTATCAAAATTCTCATCAAGAAGTAGTGAGGGGAATGGAGGGATGTACCTTAATACCAGCGTTGATGCATAGTTGAACAGCATCTTTCACACCTGGCCGACAGGGGTCCTATATCCAACATGAATTAATTTACAAAAACAATCAGTACTGTGATATTTGAAAAGCAGATGAAGGGAGGAGGGCACAGATTTTGACAGAACGGGAAAAAATAGTGAAACTCGAAATTATATTAAAAAAAATCCTATTAAACTATTGATGTAGTTAGAATTGATGAGATGATCTCCGGTTTTAAGTAAAAATCTTGAAGCAGTTCAAACAAACACCACAGATAATTTGTTTCAGGCTATCGGGAAAGATGATGGAAAATAACCAAGTATCTATAGTAGTGATAACCCGTTAACCGGTTCATAGAGTTGAAATTTATGGTCAACAAAAGTAAACTCTTTATCAGCTGTTGTTGACTGAGTGGGAGATTTCTATTTATGATGCAAATGCCAAGTAGTTCTCCACATATGACATACAAAGACGGCAAAATTAGTTTTACTGTAATGGAGAATTCAAATAATTCCAAATGGCATCTACAGAAACCAACAGCAGTTGTACGGACAGAATGGAAATACCTTGATACCAACAATGGCTAACAAAATTAGATCACCCTCAGGGAACTGCCAATTCTCCAGTTCCTCATCAGTAGTTGGGACCTTCTCCATTTCACACAACCTACAGGCGATAGCAACGCAGCGCAAGCTTCCTGCAGCCATATCTTCAATTGCTTTTTTATAAAAGGAAAGCTGCAGAAAACAATCACCTTACAGTAAAGCTCAACTGAAACTGAAAGTTATGCTAATACTTGATAGATAAATGAAGTTGCTCTCATCTTTAAAGAAATTTATCAGCCATGGTAAGCAAGAGAATAACAATGTTCCAGTATCTTCACAACGACTGTCCCACTTAGAAATCAGTATGTGTAACTATGAACTACAAGATACAGTGAGTAGAGTGTAGGGATAGGATTAGATACTGAAAGAGCAAGAACAGTTGATCTGAGCAAACCTTGTCTTCATCCATTGGGACCACACAGTCATTCGCATCAATGTGACTTGTACAAGAAGCGAGAACAATTTCTGCAGCTCCTTTCCAGTGCACATGAACTTTAGAGTCGGACTGTCAAAACAACCAATTTTACATTGAATCAGGAACAAGAATTTTAAGAGCTACTTATCTTCTTTCTGATACTTCAAAGTTCAAGTTGAGAAGGCTTAAGAAAACATAAACCAAATGTACATCGGAGTGAATGTTCCAATTACCAATTTCAGCGCAACACCACCTCGCTTCTTCTCCGAGTTAAATGGAAGAGCATGAATTATAACTGAATCTGATTGCACAGCACCAAAATCCATTCCAAGCTACAGAACAAGATTTANGAGAGTTGGGAAAAAAAAAAAAAAAAAAGAAGAAGAAGAAGAAGAAGAAGAAGAAGAAGAAGATAAGTTTCCACAAAGAATAAAATACTTCATTTACATACAAAAATGTACTTACTTTTACCCCCCACTGCAGAATGGCCTTTTCAGTTGGTGATCCAGACACCTCAGGAGCTCCACCATTCTGCTCAATACCAGCCGTAGCAGTGACATGCCAGTTATCAAAATAATAGACAAGATATGCACTTTTCCAGAAAATGAATGTAAAGTTATAGAGATGGCAGCCAATATAGCGAATGGTTAAGTCATGCTTTGAACTTTCCTTGCAACAAAAACTATACACCGTCACAACATGACACAATAATATGAGCAGGGATGGAAAAAATAGGAGAGCTAAAAAGCTATATGCAACAAAATAGCAAAACTTAATAAGTATCTAAGAGAATCAAAGTTAAAATATTAATATTGATGTAGATTACAGAAGTTGGATTCAAAACCAAATTATTACAGAATTTCACTGTTAAATATTTAGCTAATAACATATGTTGTAATTCCAAGGAGCAGCACTGCACAAGCAGCAGACAACATAAGTACTTATTGTTCCACATCACCACAACCAAGGCATTAAAAAGCACTACAGGACAAGTAATATGCTGGCCAAGCCTCGCCTTCTAGTTAGAATGTAAAATAAATTTATTATATAGACATCACAAACATATTTAACTAAAACATACCTCAGCCACATAAACACTTCCAGTTGTATTTTGTGCAATGCCTTCGAATAGCAAAGAAACAGCTGTTGGCGGAAGGAGGGACTTATTGTCTGGAGGATCAATTTTCTTATCACAAGCATACACCTCAACTACAGTCATCTGTACAAGAGATGCATATATGATGCTAACAAATAACCGAGTACCAGATCACCACCATTCACTAGCTATTTAACTCATCCCAGTAGATAAAGTTAAGAGCAAGGAAGGAGACACATTAGCACCTGATTCAGAGTTAAAGTCCCGGTTTTATCACTGCAAATGGTGGTCGCGGATCCCATTGTTTCACAGGCCGATAGCCTCCTGACCTGCAGTCAATTGAGTAATGCAATTCATAGAATATACTGAGAATATTCAAAGCAAAGAAATGTGATTAACTCATCTACTCTGCATTAATTATACATACCAACGCCTTATCGGCCATCATTTTTCTCATCGAATACGCAAGGCTACAAAGGAGAAGCACATGTCAAAGAACACTATCAGAAAGCATCAACATGATAAACACGGCATAACCAAACCAGTGGTTTGAATTTGAATTTCTTCAATTGAATGGAGAGATGAAAATGCAATAACATCAAATTACAGGAAAGAAGCAAAAAGAAAAATAGCAGAAGGCCATGATATCAAAGAAGAAGAAAAAAAAAAGAGTAGTACAAGCAATTTTACTATGCCTATGGATATATCCATAGAGAATCCTTATGGAAAATTTCAGCAATTAAGAAATGCATAAAGATTGTGTATTTTCGTAGTTTAAACTACTTTTTAAGAACAATATAGAAATAAAATTACTGTGTTCCACAATAGCAAGCGCAATACTTAACGAATTTTGAAATCAGCACACTTATCGAATATAGACTTACGTCAGAGTTACAGCTAATGGAAGACCTTCCGGCACTGCAACTACTACAATTGTCACCTGGGGGTTTACCCAGATTAGCTGGCAACCCTAGATTAGCATAAATTAAAAAATATTCGATAATTATCTAAACTAGTGCATACCGCAACAGTGAATATTTTTATAAATCCATCTATGGCATCACCAACTTTAGTCTTCCCAGCTGTAAATTGAACTCTGCCATAAGGATCTCTTGTATGCCCAGTAAAATACCTGTTCATCTCAAAAATAGTTATATAATATAATTTAGATGATAGTTCTACACAACCAATAACATCAAATGTTTAATGTTTTATAGCAAACAAAGATACCTGGCGACAAGGACAATCAGAACAATCACTGCTACAGCAAGTCCAGCTATGCCAATAAAAGTTGCAACTCCATTCAATCGGACCTAATATTGGCCAAATACAGTATAAATGGAAATAAAAGGCCACAAAGCATCACAAAGAACATTAAAAAAAAAAGAAAAAGAAAAAGAAAAAAACTCCAACCTGTAATGGTGTTTCTTCACCATTATCCTCCGATATGCTAGCCATAAGCAGTCCCCACTCTGTATTTATTCCCACACAAGTTACCTGCGGGGAAAAAAAAAATCAAAACAAAACAAAACAAAAAATAATAAAATAAACATTACGACATCATAATCATCATATAAATTTCCACTTTGGTATGAGACGGAAATTCCAAGGGACCGTTCACACTGCATATCATCACAAAATACATGCACATCTGCTGGTGTGAATTGTACATTCCTATAAAATCATTTACACCACAACAAAACCAAAAGTTTCTAGTATTCTATTCAAACAGAGCAGGCATTTCACTTCTCATGAGATACAAGTTCCAATTTCTTAGCTAAAAGCATGCTGTAAAACAGAATGTTGTGTTAACGAAAAGACAGATGAAATAAGCAACAGTTTATGCTCCTATATGCTCCAATGGATTCCTGGAAGAAACCATGCATATATTAATGACTTAGAAGAATATTTACAATCTAAGCCAAAAGAATGGCAGCAATCCTATAAATTATACTACTCTCCCATGTATACTATACATAGATATGTATCTGCAAATAGATTGAGTACAAGAATCCAATCACAGAGATGCAACTTAAGATTTCAGCAGTGAAATACGAACAAGACTATTACCAGCATAGTGCCATAGCCATCGGCTACCTTGCATCCAGACATCAGAAAGGGTGTTCGTGTAGGATCCTTGTGAACCTAACAAGGTCAAATTGCAAGAACATAAGAGTGAAGACAAAGTCACTACCATAAAATACAGCAGAGTATTTTGAGTATTTTGAGGCTTACTATTTTACTTTCCCCAGTCATACTGGACTCGTCAATAGAAAGGGAATGGCAAGATACTACAAGTCCATCTGCTGGTACCTGTAGACATGTGAAGACAAGAGACAAAGCAATCAACCCAAACACCGCATTGCAGCTCTACGATTGGTATCTCCTTTGAATACTTCAAAGACACACAAACATTAAAATAAGAGTTGCGTTCTCCCGAGGGGTAAAGAGAGATCTTTCCATTCACCTGATCTCCAATTTTGAGAGGCACAACGTCTCCAACAACTATATCAAATATTGAAATCTTAATTCTCCGCCCGCTCCTAATTACCTGAAAAAGAAACTTAGGAGGTATAGGACAAAAGAAACAGTGACGGGGAACAAAAGGTAATTGCAAAAGCTCTACAGAAAACCTACCTCCATTTGTATGTTTTGCTTCTCTTCATTCAAATTTTGGAACTGAAGGGATTGTTTATAATCACTTACAGCTGCAAAAAGTACAGAATAATCATATAGATAGCTAGTTTACCAAGTCGAAGGTATTATTAAGTATGAAATGCATATGTTGCTATCATGGGAAGAATGCAACCTTCAGTCACTTAATTAATTTGGAGAACACATTTATTAGTTTGTAAAACTGACATATAAATAAATAGAAATGCAACTGTATATGGTTCCAGCAGCAAGTGTATATTACCATTGTAAGGTTGTCATCAGGTTACATCACTATCTAGGGACTATGTTCTCACAACACTAACTGAAAACATCCCTTCATGGGGAAACTCATTTCATTTCTCTGATAGTTCCCATTTTATATTCTCTCTTTCTAATGCAAAGTTGCAAACTGTGTTTGCCTTTCACCAGTTTTCCGGTTATAGCTAATTGATTTCTCCTTCTGAACTTTTAAATTGTCTAATAACCAAAGTTTCATGTCATTATACACACAACCACATCAAACTCAAGTACTTTTACAAACAGGTCACTCCCCATTTGAACCAACAATCCTCTTTCACTTGACACAAAATATAAATCCATCACCATTGTTAATTTTACTGAAACGTTTGAAGGAAAGACAGCTCATTATGTTTCTGTTTTCGTTTTTTTATAAATATATTTTTAAATTCAACCTTCTTTTGGACTTCAGAATAAAAGTAATTTCAGAAGTGTAAATTACCAGTTTTCTGGTAAAATGTCTAAAACACAAAGCAGCAGCAGCTACCCTGCTAATAAAAGTTGAGTTACAGCTTTCAAGATGGTACTATTCTCTATGATATCAATCAATCACTCACTCACTAACTCTCTCTCTCACACACACACACGTATCACATAGTTGAGCGATCTTCTGTCACATGTCCGTGACCTAATTAAGCAATTAATCCAGTTCAATTTAACTTGTAAAGAAGTCTGTGTTGACAAACACAATCAAATGGGGAAGTGTACTTAAAATCATCATACACAGGCATCGTATTAAATCGAACAGAATGTAATAGACTGAAACCATATAGTTATATGAATATACCTGTAAAAACAATTACTATAAGAACTGCAATGGCTATACTTCCTCCATCGTACCAGCCTTCTTTTATCCCCTAAAATAAGAAGAAGAAAAAAATCCATTGAAATCATAAAATAATCTCTTATACAGTTCATTGCATTCTTCACAATCATTACCAAGCTCCTTCCATGATTAACCATACAAACATGGTGAATTATTGGATATGAGAATATATCATTGCCATCAAGCCTCATTTGATTATATAATTCAATGTAACAAGAAAACATAAAACTGTACAGAGAATACTTTTCATAGCAACACAGAGCGTAGAAGAATAGAATTCAATAACATAATTCAATCTATAAGAAATCATTATAAGAATTCATACAGTTCATAAAGTCACATCTTCAAGTACTAGATATAGTTCACTATCTGCAACGATTATGCAATCATGCTATCAGCCACTCCATGTGAAATAAAAACACTCGAACTTTTTTCATTCTTTACCAACATTAGAATTCTGGACCAATCGAAGCATGAGACGAGCAAAATAATTTAATATACATATAAGAGTGAGAACATTCCATGTTTCTCGACTAAATTGGTCGAGGAAAAAAACTTCTCTGTACAAGATGGACAGTCACAACTAAAAGTACTATAACAAGTCAATTACATAATAGAGACTGCTCATCTTACCTCGGTTTTTATACCAAGGGCCAAGGAGGCTGCTGCAGCAACCATCAGAATTATCAGAGTGGTATCTCGACAAGCATCCAAGACAAACCTCTAGAGAAAAGAAAAGGAAGAGGTAAATAAAAACTGAAATACAATAACTTCCCAATTATACTTGTGAAATTTTGTTTTTATTCATTATCTAGTAAGATGGATTTCTTAGAGACAAACTAATCACTCACCCAGAAACTCCTTCCTTTCTTCCGAGGATATGTATTTGACCCAAAAGCTTTCTTTCTCTTCATGAGATCAGTCTCATTACCAGGTACGCCCTTATCCAAGCTTGATTTCAATTTCTCAGCCACTCCTGTAGTCTGGTGCCAAGAGAGAAGGACAACAAATCAGCATAGAATGCCAAACCTACCAATAAGGATAGCAAACTCAAATATGCAGAGCTGCAAAACAGTGATGAACTTGCCCCTCCAAATTGCTGCAGACGAGGAAGATCATGCTCCCTGGATACCGAAACAAGTTCATCTGCGGAGACACCAAACTCACCATTCTGAATTGGGCTTGAAGGCAGCTCTGAAATTCCTTGACCTAGGTGAAGAATTTCAACCAATGACCATGTTATGAAAGTAGATAGCAGCTGCTCCAGGAGAAGAAAAAAACATGATCACATGGCATTAGCACCTGAAGCTCACAAAATGATAACTGCCCATCTTCAAATGGACCAAATCATTAATACTAATACTAATAATAATAATAATAATAATAATAATAATAATATAAAGGAAAGACGTATCCACCCTCAACTTAAAGTCACATGTAACAAATGCAGCCAAAGATATTAAGATAATGATGAACAAGAAATGTCAGGTTACACAGAGAAACTTATAGTTCCCTGAATTAGTATCTTGAGAATACAAAAGGTCTGCCAATGAAATGATGATAACAAGAATCATTATAACTTACATCATTAGCGACGGCAACAATTTGACAGTGACAAAATTGACAATGTAATTTACATATAACCTAGATCCAATAAAGTTTAATCAGCGTACAACATGTGATGTAGGACAGAATAAAAAAAATTACCATTTAGTTCTTGACCAGCCACTTGGAAAAGAACGGCAGCCTGGTGAAGCATTTAGTGATTAAAAATCAAACTACTGCAAATAGATGACCCGGTTAAAAATGTAAAACATGCATTTTACCCGAATGACTTGAGCATGTGTTCTAATCTTTCCAAGCAATTTTTCCCTCTCTTCTTCTTTCTTCAAGTCTAATGTATACCGAAATCGTCGGGAAGCATTCAGGACAAGCGCAGCTTGCTGAAACAACATTACAGAATGAAAACATGTTTTAAACTCACATAATGTGCAAATCAACATGTTGCAAGCTAAACAAACAAAAGATTATGAAGATCCAAAAACAATGCAATTTTTTTCCTTGACAATCTCTAATTAGTACAAAAGGAGAGCATATAAAGAAACTAAAGAAGGTCATAAACAATTGTTTAGGCTCACACATTTATACACATGGCACAAATTCCACAAGAGAAGTTCCAAATTTAAGTTTCTCAATTGTGGCATCTAACTTCGCCAAGCTCGAAATGTCCAAGATGCATACGATAGAATTTCAAAATGCACACCAGCTCAATAACAAAGTTATCGATGAATATCTCTCATCATGATCAAAGCAATTACTGCTGCATGCACATGATAGAGTTATAAGGGAACCAAAAGACAACTAAAACCGATAATTAATCCCGCAGCCCACAGAACATTACACCAGCACATTCAAATTATTATATTATGGTAGAATTAAACCATTGTCTAGGGTGTTGGACAAGACCGAATCCTTTTCGGGTAACTCATTTAAAACCGAAAATCATGTAGCGCAACTTGCAACACTATACAACACTAGGTAAGAATCAGAGGAAGATTGTAACTACTGGTGAAATATGTAAATTGGATAAATGGAATTACACAAACGAGAAAANTTAACAGTCTCAACGAGTACACTGAAGAGCTACATACAATAAAATAAAACAAAAACAAAACAAAAAATTCAATGCAATAGTAACGAAAACCACAGCGATCAACTCACCCGCCATCTACGCAGACGGTCCACCGGAGCACTTTTAGTCCTGACAATGTCGAACGGCCCTGAAAGCTCATCACCTTCCTCCGGGAGGTCACGGTGGCTGTTTCCAGCTTCTAAATCGTCAGGCGAGGTCCTGTTTTCCTCAATCATAGTTCCGAATTTCCGTTCGAGTCGAGGGGAGATAGCGCCGTTTCAATCTCCGTTCTGCAACAACAGTGTGAAAAAAACGATTTCGAGGTACGAACCAAATGCCGCGAAAAAAAGAAAAATGACTTGCACAGTAACGGTAACACACTTTTCACAGTTCAAAACCTGTTCTGATGAAGGCGACAGATGAAAGTTTACCAGCAGTGAACGGCGACGATGAAAGCTTGAAGAAGGTGACAATGGCGACGGTATGGTTCGTGCGATGAAGAGAACGGCGCAGATAGCGTGAGAGAGAGAGAGAGAGGTGGTGAGTGAAATTACTTCGAAATTTCTCAAATTAAAACCTGTTATTTTGAATTGAAGTTATAAATTTAATGGTGGGATTGCGTACGGTGACGTCCAGGAACTTTCGGTGCCCGCGTTGGTTGAAATACCAATAAAAAGAAAGTTATCGAAAAGTCATATTGGCATTTTATCCTACATAGGGGCAATAAATAATTTTCGTAGTGAATCAAGCATATTCACGAGGCGAAATAATTTATTTTTTTTAATAATTACCAAAATTTTTAAGTGTGTGCATCTTTGAGTGAGAGCTTTCATTTATGCTCCCTTTTTCACGTGAAAAAATTAAAAAAAAGTTGATATACTTGGATCAATGCAACGAATAAATGTGCCTCTTCTTTTATACTACCTCCTATTCTTTTTAAATGTCATTTTGGCTTTATCAACTATTAACCAAAATAAATGTCGTTTTGGATCTTTTGTACATATTTTTCCATTATTACCCTCATTTAGTTAATAAATATACTACGTCTTTTCATATTCTCTTCATCTTTTTTTTAAAACATCCATCTCTATCTTCATTAATTTTTCATATTCTCTTCATCTTTTTTTTAAAACATCCATCTCTATCTTCATTAATGAGGGTTATTATTGGCAAAAAAATTATTCTTAATTAGTGTGCAACTTCCCAAAACGACACTTATTATGAATAGGAGGGAGTATTATACTAATATGATCCCGTGTAATGTAGATCGTGGACAATTTTAAAACTATTTGTTATGATTCTTACGTGAATAAAAAATTATAATCAGAATAGAATAATAAAAATATTAGAACATTTTTTGTTTGTCTTATATGTAAATTATTATTACAACAAACTAATATTCAAGCCCTTTCCATTAGGGACAATGTATATTTGATTTGATATATTAATAAAAATACTTGTTTATAACTTTGTTCATCTGTAGTTCCTCAAATTTTAAATCCCGAAAAAATATTCATAACATATATAGCAGATTTTTTAATTATTTAGGGAATAATTCGCCATAAATTTCGTGGAAGATAAAATTATTTTATCTATATAAATATATTTGCTAGCAAAACAATTAATAAAAAATATTTTGTTTTATTTTAAAATTAATATATCATTTTATTTTTATCTCGTTCAGCAACCTTTTAAATAGCTAATTGGTTTAATGGAATAGCAAACCTGCATAAATAATAATAATATTAATATTAATAATAACAACTTAATTTTTTTTCAACCAACTAATTAATTTGAAAACCTGAATTTTGCAATTACATATTCATTATATTTTATGTCATTCTTATGGTGATTCATATAAAAGTTAAATAGTTTATCATTGTATTGTTCATTTTCACTAATGATTAAATTTATAAAATATGATATGTGTATTATATAATTAATATTTATAAATATAATATCGATTTATACAACTTATAATATTTTATTTGAATCATGTGCACATGTTTCATTATTAGTTTATATAAACTTGGACTCAATATTGAATCTAGCTTAAACTTATCTTAAAAAGTAAGTAATTTTGGATAGTAAAGAAACTTTGTATTTTGGGAGAAGATGGAAACTCCATGTTATCTAAAAAATATCGTTACATTTCTCGCAATTTTTTATTTTTTATTTTTTGTCATGTTTAATTTATTCGGACACTGACTGCATAAATTGATACCAGTAATCTCCCATGAACGACTCTCACCATTTTCTTATCCATATTAATGTATTGAATATTGATGCTTGAATATTCACATGACAATCCAAGCTTTTTAGCATACTGCTTATATAATATGTCAATACATACACGCAACTCTTATTGTACCCATGTACCCAAATGGGCAAATGGGTACAAGTTGTTAAATATATATTTTTTTAGAAAGAAAGTGGAGCATTTTAAATAGTCAAATTCGTGTTAAACATACATAAATGTAATCAGATTTCTGGTGGACGAGAGAATGTCGTTATGCTCTCGATTATAATGTGAAATAAACGATAATGTAATTTAAAGAAATGAGCTATAATATATACTGTACACATTGATTCACTTGATGTGGAAATGAGCTATAATATATACTGTAAACATTGATTNAAACATTTATCGATCAAAACCCAGCCAACTCGGGCATTTACTCGATTGATGATTGATCTGATCAATTTTCTTTCAGAATATCTTAATTTGAATAATAATAATAATAATAATAATAATAATAATAATTTATATATATAGTGGCAAATAAATTTGAGCTTATGGTTAGCTCCTACTGCTTCGTAATTTTATAAATTTTTATGCGTGAATTTATAGTGTACTAATCCTACATATCAATATATTTATTTTGGAGTGTCCATGTAGATCAGGAGTTTTAAATTCCAAAATACTCATTCAATCTTATAAATTCATTTCAATTCAATTGGAATGTCCAAATTGCATGTATAAAATATTTTCTTCTAACGAGTATTATTATTCTTACTAACGAATACTAAACTAATACTATTGACAATTTCTTCAAATCCGGTGTAATACAGGTCAAGCATTATTTAAAATTTCAAAATAAAACTTTTATTTATTTATTTATTCATTTTTTGTACTTTTTGTTTAAAATTATTTATTTTGATCATTTTATGTATATTTAAAATTTTGAATTTTTTAAAATCATAAATACACTATAACGTTTATAGTTTATTTATCACTTTATTTCGAGTATCTTATTTTACACCAAAGAAAAACAAAATCCAGAAGTAAAGTAATTATATAAAGGGCCCTAAAGAATGAAAGTACTGGTATATATGCCCTCGACGTGGGACAAGAAGATATCATGATTCTTCATTCTAGCCTTCAAGGCTTCAGTTTACCTTTTTTTTCCTTTTCTTCATGTCTTCAATTTAGGGATGTAAATGGGTCGGGCCGGGTGCGGGTTTTGACATACCCGTACCCGACCCGCCGGCTAAAAAATGCACCCATACCCGGCCCGCTACCCGATTAATCACCACGGGTTCGGGTTGGGTTTTACCCGTCGGGTAATTGGGTACCCGCCGGGTAAACGGGTACCCAAATTGTTGCAGTCAATTGGGTTTGATCGGGTTATTTTTACCCGCTTACCCGTCACCCGAGTACCCTGAACCCAACCCGACCCGACCCTGTGCCTAAAAAAAAAAGCAAATGCATTCAAATTGCCAGCTCGACACCATATTAAATATATTTCAAATTATATTGAAATATATAATAATTAAAATACATGATTATAAAACATAAGATTGAAATTAATTTTTGCTTTTGTTAAAAAATATATAATAAAATGTACTTTTAAATTCAAATTAACAATATAATACTTATTTGAAATGATATAGCGAGAGATATCTATCACTGAGAAAAAAAAATAGTTGTCTAAATTTAACACATAACTTATATGCGTTATAAAGAATGTTATCATCTCTTTCGCATATCATACACTATTTTTACTTCTCACGAATTCCCAATTATACTCCAAATAAGTAGCATTATAAATTTGTACACATTATTTTTACACAGATAATATTTGTAAAGATATAAATATATTGAATACACTATACACGTATAAACTTATTTATCAAGTTCATTATTATTTATTATATATATGCTATTTTCAATAATTAGATCTATTCTTTAATATAAAAACTATGAATTCATCACATTTATATATGTGGATAGGTTATTTGCTTGCATAGATTTTCATTTTTCAAGTACAGGTAATAGAGTAACAGACTAACAGGTTTGCTTTTTTCATTTTTTATTTTTGATTTTCCTTCTCTCCTTTTTCATTTCGTGATTCGTCCTAAATTATATGAATGATCTGTTCCATCTTCATTCTTCAATCTTCAATATCTATGAAAATTTTAAAATACTTTGATTACTAAATTATTATTTTTTGAAACATAAATTTTTTGTATATCTATATATATATATATAGTTATTAAGTGTGCGGGTAATCGGGGCGGGTAAAAGTATGGGTCGGGTAAAAAACCCCGCCGGGTAAATGGGTCGGGTGGTGGGTTTTTTCATTGAACCCATACCCGACCCGACCCGGTGTGCGGGTAAGAAGGAAAAACCCATGTACGACCCGCGACCCGGTATTTTCGGGTTTACCCGACCCGGTTTTTCGGGTTACCCGCGGGTAACCCGACCCTGTGGGTTTTTCTGACAATCCTACTTCAATTTTACTTTAACCTAAAAATTCCAACCCCTTGACCACGTAACAAAATGGAAAAAGTTCAAAAACAAGACTAATGTTTTTCCAAGCAAGAACAAATACTTATAAAAAGAGGAGAATCATAACCAGATGTGTACAATTTAAATAGATTAATGTTTTTCCAATTGAGGGAGGGACATCCAGTAATTATGGGGTAAAAGATCAATATGATGGGTACCAAAATTTATACCAACAGTTTGAGAAATCAAGGCATCATGGCGAAAAGGCGGGGACATAAACGCACTCATTCATCATCAGAATAATTAAACTTTATCGAGTGGGATTGCAGGTCGATTTGCCCTCCTCGATAGCTACCGCGCTTCTTTTTGGTTTTCTCATGTCGGAAGTCCCTTCATAAGACAGAAAAGGAGGGGCAGAAATGTCAATAACATCACAGCTCTCGTAGCTCAATCCAATATATATACATGAGTGTGCATTTGTTCGGCACAATGGCTTTGACCCAGTTAACGTAAAAAATTGACGAATGTTTCTTGAACTACTCAGAATAGATTTGAACTTCCCACTAGGAGATTAGTTTTATATACATGTTTTATTCACCAACTCTTTCTTTTTCTGGATTTATATTAGTATATAGAACAATCAATCCATTGAACCAATCCAGTGTTATTGAGGTATTCTTTGGTGAGTCGGTGTTTGGTGGGGTTGAGAAGAATATGATGTTACATAACATGTAGAAACACACCTTCCTTTGACTTGTCCCAAAACTTCTTGTGCTTTTGCACCATAACCAGTGTCTGCACCATCCTGTAACAAACATAACAAGAGAATAAATAAATGTCATGCTCTCTTCACAACAACAAATTGGACGTTAAACTTGACTTCTAAAAACTCCAAGCAGGTGTAAAAATTAACATCTTTTCCAAAGTCGTCATTACTTTCAATGGGAGAGGTTCACTTTGAAAGAAAAGGGTTTCGTGGATTGCATTATCATCCTAATAATAAATGATAAATGCAAGGAAAGTATTCTTAAGAGAGAAGATGCAAACATATTGCCATGGTAAACTACACCTAGATTTCAGCCTTACTAACATATACATTTCAATCTATATAATAGCTTATTTTCATGGCAACGGTTATTTAATTTATTTTTTTGAGTATGTGAGGAGCAGAAGACTCATGTAGACGCATATCTATATAAATTTAGCACGGCGGTTTGTCAAAATTCCACAACACCATAACGCGATGGCCGCCTTATAACACTGGCGGCTATTATTGGGTGTAGTTTTACCGCAAAAAAAAGGGTTACAAATGGAAATTTTACTAAAATTCACTTTATTATGTAATTAAGAAAATTATAAATCAATATTACATCATTAATTAAGGCGTGTTTTGAATTTATTTGGTTTGCAATCTTCTGGTAAGTTGGAATTTATTGAACTTATTTTCTATGAAATTATAGTTCTAATTATCTAATACATATTCAATACAAAAAATTTCTACTGATTGCGTCTTGATGATTCTGGCTTCAAATAATGAATCTCATTTAGATTTACACATTATATTTTTATATTTATTCTTTTTTTCTAATTTTGTAAGTGGTTTGATTATTTGAGTTAATTTAAATTATTTTATAATATTTTGTACTTAGATTAGACTTGGGTCGCTGTTTGGGTGGTCTTAATTATTCTCATATTTTTGCTAACTAATTAGCTAAAGGAATCATGATACATATGATTTCCATAGTATGAATGATGTTTAATTATATTAAAACCATGATGCATGCAATTCAAATATTGTTTTATTAACATTTAAGAATATTTAAATATATTATATTTATATGCATAGATAGAGTTTGTGCAAATCAATGCATAAGATAATTATAACTTTTGAAAGACACCCTTATAACCAATTGTAAAATAAGATGATACAATTAGGAAACTAAAATCAAATATTCTTTGTACTTACTCATTAAGATAATAGAAACATTATTTAGAGTTGCAAATACTATTTCGTGGTTGTGAAAAATTCTTGAGTATTATAAGCTTATGTTGGTATCTAACACATCCACAAATGACATTAATTCCATTTGACACCCCGGTGAAACATAATGCCATGTTCAAATATGTGTTTGATATTATGTAAACATTCATTTATTTAATTTTTGTTTGTCCGATTACATATATATAAGATTTTAGTAAATTATTACTGTAACATATGTAAAAATTATATTTTTACACTTTTATCCTATGTGTCATTGATGCACAGGTGAAATACGCTAGTTACAACAATACCACACTATCCTACGATAAGTTTTACGTGAACAAAGAGTAACAAAATATCAGACTATTTTCCACGGGATGGATGGAGATGTGGTCAAGAATATCGCAATTGCCGCACATTCATGACGTGAAAGGTTGTCATAATTTATGCAATCATATATTTGTGTGTGTGTTTGTGTGTGTGTTCTCCACCACGTATGAAAACATAAGCAGGAAACAAAGCAAATAATGTGACAGACCTTGGCCCAATATGAGTTGTCTTGAAGCCTCTCGTCAACGAACTCCACCTCATCAATTTTCACTCTTTGAAATGCATTCACTGTGTTTGGCTGCAAAAAACCAACAAATTTGTATTCTTCAATATTATCATCCTTCATATCTTCCCACAAATACCAACTTTATGTGATAATATTCTCACCAATGACAAAAAGGAAGCAATATTAATTATAATGAAGGTTATTTAAAACAAATAAAGAAGAGGTCAATACCAAATCAAAAAAACGAAAAACAAATAGTGGGAAAGACCCACACTAACTTCTGATGTTGCATGAGCTAGCAGAAATAAACATATGAATAATAATTTATCAGTTCAGTTTCATGGAACTCTACAACAACAGAGAGATTTACATAGTTGTGTTTTTATTTGACATTAAACTTAGGCGTGTGCTATTTGATGATAAAGTGAAAAGATCAGGCACATTTATGGCAAGGCTAAAGACGTGTGCTCCCGAGGACAAGTGCTAATACCATGTAAAATCCATTATAGCATAAGTTGTGCATGCCACAAATTTAGAGCACATACAGATAAAATTAAGGCTCAAAGTAACAAGAAATATTAGCAGAAAGAGTTATGAGTGTACCTCATCACAACTGTTCCGCTGTTTCTTTGCAGATTTTGGCTGACTTGATTTATCCACTCCGTTGCTGTTAACAGTTACAGTACCCTTAGTGCTCCCATCAGTTTGTTTAGTAGATAAGTCTGTGGAGCCCGCATGTTTTTTCTCTTTATTTTGTTTGTTATTATGTCCATCAGCTACAAGGTCAACATCTTTGCCTTCTTCAAGACTTTTTGACTTCTTAGGCTTTGATTCTTCAACAGCTACTTCCCCACCAGACTGGTTTTCATTTACATCAGGATCCATCCTTTTTCTCTTCTTGGAAGCCTTCTCGGATTCATTAACCCCATTCTCTGCAGCCTTGAATATTTTCTTTTTAGATTTCTTATCTGTTGTGTTTTTTCCATCAAGTGCCTCTTCAGCACAACTCTTAGATAATAAACCTTGACTTTCAGTCACATTTGGCATAACATCTATTTGCTTTTCATTAGCATGTAATGCTTCCGAGATAATGCTTTTCTTTTTCTTCTTCTCTTTCTGCTTCTTATTTGAATGATCCTCTATTGACTCAAGAGCTTCCTCACCATTGGATTCCGTTGACGTCTTTGACTTAGTAGATTCATTTATCTTTTCATTGACGATTGTAACTTCGGATGCCTGTCCGAGCTCAGCAACTGTGCGGTCCTCTTTACCCTTTTTCCTCTTCTTTTTACTTCTGGCTTGCTCAGAAACAGCACACTCTGCATCTCCATTTGTTTCTTTTGTGACATCCACATGTTCTTCTGTAAAAACAATTTTTTATCAAGTGAGCCACTCAAAACTCAACTACTAATAAGGAAAAGTGAGAACAAAATATGTTGACATAAAATAGAGGCGCAACCGATTTACATTACCTTGCTTCTTCTGGGTTGTCACCTGTTCCGGAGCACTATTACTGAAAGAAAATAGGAGCTAAGCAACATGAGAATCAAAATTGAACTGTGGCACCCATCAAAAAAATAAAATTGAACTGTGGCCATCAACAACACCAGCACTAAATTTTGGCTCCCAGAGAAACATCAACATAACAGACACGAAAATAGCCAATGTTACTGAACAAAAGGGGTCAATAACAATAACAATCTCTTGTAACTGTATGAGTTTCATTAAGACTCCTCATGAGTCAGCACACAAGACCAAAAATCTTCCATGACCAGGAACTATATTAAATTCATAGTTTTAAATGGCGAATGGCGAGGCGAGGCGATTGGCCCATTGCCTCGCCACGAGGCGAGGCGAATCGCCATGGCGAGGCCTCGGCAACACATGCCATCAAAGCTTAAATATATATAGTAATATCATACATTTAAGTTCAAGTACCAAAAATAACCTTAAATATCCTAAAAAAGATAATGTAAATTAAATTTAGTTGTAATTACTAAAAGCATCTAAAACTTAAAGGTGAATGCTAGTAACATTACAAAGCAAAAATATTGAATTTACACTGTGTAGTAAACATAAAATAGAAAAAAGTTAAAGAAGGCAAATAAAAAGTGTAAAATAAAAGTAAATGAAAGAAAAGATGCTGCAACCTTTCACCTTTGACGATTGAGGCTTTACACAAAGGAGGCTTTACATCATTTAACACACATCTAACGAAACAACCCTATTTTTTAGGAAACTTCGCCTAGGGGCTGTCCTCCCAGGTTTTCAGCTGTTGGCTGGTTGTATTCAGACGTTGGTTGTATGTATTCAGCTAGGGGTTGTAATTTCGCACATTTGTGCCCTTTAATATATAATATCTTAAATCCTCCAAATGTTACACCTAAATCTGGCTCGAATCACATATATTCAGTAGGGTGAACAAATAGCCAGACTCGTTCCCAAAGGACAAACAAAAGATTCTCTTCATATCAAATTCAACAGCAAAAAATACTCATTCTTCAATTCAGTTAACATATTAGAAGCAAATGGGTCCTAAAGAAGATACAAGAAGCTTTCGAACAATGTAAACTATTTCATATCCCGTCATCAGTCTCACATACTCATCATACATTCGAAGAATCATGTTCATGACAATGGCATAACCGCTCTGTATTTCAACGCCAAACATGAAACTAGTTTTTCACAATAATCATTTCACAAGTAGAATCCAACATACACATATTGGTAATTGGTATCAACAAATGAAGCTAATTTACAAAGCAAGATCGATTTTTTCCCCTCCCCTTACCTACGTCACATTATGTCGGTTTATACAGTCGTTGGTTTCTACATTCGTGTGCCACAGAGGAGAATCTCTCACCGGCAAAGACGAACTATAGCACAAATCGAGCCTCTCCCGAAACTTTGCCTGGGGCGATTTTTGCATAAATTATGTGAGAGATCTTATATTTGAAATCAGCAAAAGAAAGACATCCTGTCTCGCGCGAGGGTCTTCAATTTTTTATGAGCTAACTAGTGGTTATCAACTAAAACAAACATGCTGTCTCGAAAAAATGATACTTCAATTTGTTATCAGTTTGTTATCAGCTAACTAGTTGTAGCAAACATCGTGTCTCGAGAAATGATAGTACGCACTAAACTATGTTTCATCATGCGTGAGGCATGTTGCTTACCACTATGCAACTACTAATGTGTGGATGGGTGTTGTTTACTAGTGTGCAGTTACTAATGTGTCATCATAGACGTACACTTGTATTAAACGGACTGAAATTAAAATAAACAGAACGTGAGTCCATCGAGTGAGTTTCCAGTTGAGGACAATAAGATAAAGATTATTAAATAAGAGAAGACAAGTTCCCACCCCAAGCATGGGCTGCAGTAAGATAGCCAGAAAACCACGTTTACGAGATGTCACTTACTTCCACATGTAGATGGATCACTCTCAAACATAAGGGTAGACCGCCAGAGTCGTAAACTCGCCACTGTCACGGATGCCGAGGTTCTCCAGCTTGGACGTCTCACAATTGTAAAGCCATAGGTAACGCTCTGAGTCCTGAAGAAACACTTTATCATTCTTGTAGAGGCCGACGACGCTCGTAAAAACAGCAGGAGTAGGACGAAAGACTGTGTGTGTGGATACATGGGACCAGATGCCCTTCTTCCATACCCAAATCTCGAAAATAAAAGGCGCACGTTTCTTCATCGTCTTCATCTTCTTCTGGATAGTCTTCAGCTTCTTCTGGATATTCTTCTTCGCCTTCATCTTCTTCTGGGTATTCTTCTTCGCCTTCATCTTCTTCAGGATATTCTTCATCGTCTTCATCTTCTTCGCCTTAATCTTCTTCAGGATATTCTTCTTCATCTTCATCTTCTTCTGCTGCTGTCTTGGGCAATCGATATTCATACTTGTGTCATCCTGTCCATGATAATCGGAAACAACAGCAGCAAGCAGCCCATGAAACTCGGCAATACAAACAAAATCACAATTGATGTCCCAGAGAATTTTGGTACTGGGCATAGGAATTAGAGCAGGGGGAAACTCCTCCTTAGCAAAGTCGAACGAAATAATAGCAACATCTTCTTTGCTGGAATTCTTTGCTGTCCAATAATAAAAGCCATCAATGAAAAGTGACGGGTACTCGTATACCTTCCACTCAAGATCATGGGGATACGGAATTTTCTTCCAAGTTTCAAGCGAAAATAGCTGCGCGTGGACTTCGTTGTCGGAATGAAAATACTCAAACACGCAACGTCTCACCACCTTATAGTCCTCAGGTGCAGAAGGATCAAACCCGATGCCGTAAACCCCCACGTACTGGAAAACTGAATGAGGCATGCGCGGCTCCACCGGAAAACTAGGAAGGGTTACAAGCACGTCGGTCCTAGGGTCCCACAGAAGCACACCCGATTCTGAGGGAATTTCGTTATATATGCACAGCATCCATGTGTTGCAACTCGCTAAAACATTATATTTGGCATTGTTACAAACGAGATCGTAGTTTTCAGCTTTGAGTCGAGACAAGTTTGGAAGACGATTATCATCATCTTGTAGCACTTTGAACGAGTTGTTTTCTGTTGAGATTACATAGTGAATGCGGGTCCGGTCAAGTACACAGTGCACCATAAGCATCAGACAGTCATTAGGTTTCAAACCGCGAGTAAGCGCCCGAATAGTAGCAGGAACACCAGCGACAGTACAAGTGGAGGCAGACGAGATATTTTTCAAGAAGGATATGTAGGTGGGTTCGGCATTGGCAACATAAGGGAAGACCATCAGACCCATACCCTCGTCACGGATACCGAGATTCTCCACTCGGGCTGTTTCAAGGTCGTAAACCAATAGGTCACCATACAAGCCCTCGAGAAGCAGTTTACGGTTCTTGTAGAGGCCCAATACTCTATCAACAGAAGCATCCGAAGCCGGGATTTCCCCTGTGAACACGCAAGACCACGTGGCGGCTTCTTTCCTCCACACCCAAATCTCGAAAGCAAAAGACTTCCTCCTTTCAGCAGGAGGAGGAATACTATTTACTCTGTTGTTCTTCAGCCATTTACCATACCCGAAAACAACAGCAGCAAGTGACGCATCATACTCAACAAGATGAGCAATGGCATTGGGGAACTTATGGCTCTTGGGCTTGGGGATCAGAGGGCCAAACCTCTCCTCAGCAAAGTCGAACGAAAGAATGCTACCCGCACCAGTTGGCCAATAATAAAAGCCATTGATGTAAAGAGAAGATTCTTGATCCGGATGAATACAGGGGTCGTGAGGACACGGAATTCGCTTCCACGAATTACTTGCGGACGACAACAGCTCAACATAAAGCTCCTCATCCAAAGTATATCTGTACGTCACGCGAGCTCTCAACACCTTACAGGTGTCCCCTGCAGGATCAAACCTGAGCCCGTAAGCCCAATGGCCCGAAAAAGTTGGGCAAGCCAAAGCAAAATGCGGAAGACCTATCGTCTCGCCGGTTGTGGGGTTCCACAAAAAGTCATCTGGAGTATCCCAACATGTCAACAGCATCCATGAGTTGCAAGTTGCATGAACACGATAAAAGGTGTTGTGGATACTGGGATCGTGGTAATCCTCTTTGAGTAGATTCAGGAATTCAACATCATCTTGTCGCATCACTTTGAAGTTGTTGTTTTGGGTTGAGATTAGGGAGCAATCGAGGGTTCCGTCGTCATGTAAATGCCGCACCAGAAGCGTCAAATTGTCGTTGTTGCAAAGTGGCTCACCTTTGTCGGGAATCAGATGTGTGGTGGTGTTTGAGACAATTCCAATATCTGCCATTGCCAACAATCCTCAACTACTTTGGACTAGTCCTACATTTAATCAATAAAGCAATCAATCCCTTTTTTGCAAAATCTTTCGCAAATTTAGGCACATGTTGTTATAAATAAAAGTCATTCAAATAGCCAAAGATTTCGCCATCAATACCTGAATTAGAGAGTAGCTGAGGGACGTCGGGACTGAAGCCGGGCGAGGGCAAGCCGATTAGCAGTCGCAGAGGACCGTGACCGGGTGGTTGGCGGTGGCCGTGCTAGATTTGGATGGATTTGGGGTTAGGTTTTGGGACTTCATGCTTTTTTATCCAAACTTATATAAATAATATTTAGTTTTCAAAATTATAATTGAGGTAATATAAAAAATATATTTAACTATATAAATTTCATTCCAAATAATTATAATCTATCTACTATATAATTATAATTAGGTAACTCACTTGCCATTTTTAGATTAAAGTCCTCACATTGCTTGACACGTGTTCATATTTATATTAATATTAACTACCTTAACTAATATTTACTAGTACGACATGGGGTGTTGAATTAGAAAGTTTTTGTCAAAAATATTAAGTTTTTTTTATTTTTTTCAAAAACCAACATAATTTAATTTATATAAAACATAATTTTAGATTTTAATTAAATTGTTAAATTATTTTTTTTAATCATAATTAAACACCCGTACATTAAATGAAAATGTCAACTCGTGTTGATTTTTTTTTTTACTTATATCATATAAAAATATCGATATTATTTACTATTACATAATTACAAAAATATATATCTTAAATAAATAGAAATAATATGGTGATATTTATATGCATAAGTGTAGAATATGTTTATTTAATATTAAACAAAATAGATTAATTTTTTTGTTTAAATATAAATATATTAATTGATAAATAATTTTATTTTCTAATTAATTTTAATAAATATTCTTTTTTATTTTAAAGATAAATATAATTTATTTATTTTATATATACAATATGGATGTCAAATCGAAGATCATCAAAATATGATTAATTTGATATATTATATATGTAAAATCAATAAGAAATACAAAAGTTATCAACTTTTAAAATATATTTGCAATTCAATGATTATAATAGAAAATGATATTAAAATACAATTAATATAAATATTAATTTATATTCAAGCCTAACTCCAAAACATGATTTTTTGCCAAAGCATGAGAATTTGCCATAGACTCAGCGCATTCTGAAATTATATATAGTGGGAATTTAGTTTACCGATAACTACCAAAGATCCATTCCTTAATGATTTTACCCCTGTTCATCATTTGTGACTCATTTTATTAATACAAACAATTAAAAGTATGAGATGTTTGTACTTGATAGATATTTTTATAATTTTTTTATTAAAGGTTTTAGTTTAAATTATTTATCTAATTTTCATAATTTATACTTTACAAATTAACATAATCATAAGTGTTCGTATGCTTCTTGCCTGAATTTTATAAGTTTTTTTAATTAATATATCAACATCACATTTGATAACTCAAAACTAGCTACATATTGACAATGTGTAATTGGCTTGCATGATTCAAAAGTAATAATTATAAATTGTTGATCGTAGAAATACCTTATGACGTGTTTTCATTATGTGGTCTTTTTCTTTGCACGCTGCTCCGATTCGCCTATCGACTGCGTTTTGTAGTGTTGTCTGACATACAAAAGCACGTAAAGTTATATTTGATTGCAATTGTGAGTATTCATGCTAATGACTGAAATATTTATTGGTTATTAATATAAATTTTCAATTTTCATTTTATAATAATTTAATTTATGCTAGTTTGTAACTAATTTCATAAATCTATTTCAAGCAACATGGAGCAGCAAGGTCTGACACTTACAAAATGATTATGGAATGCACAACATATACCAGACAAGTTGAATAATTATAATAAAAACTTAATAAATATTATTATTAATTGTTTTCTTTTTTTTTTAATTGAGGATAAATAAATTCATGTGTTTTTGTCAAACCAATCATTAACCGATGCTCCAAAGCCTGTTGTACTGAAATTCTTGCTTTCGGATCATACATAAACATCTTCCCTAAAAGGTGCAAAGCATCATCACTTGCCACGGGGAATAATGTGCGCAATGGTTGAGCAGGCGCATATTGGTATTCCAAATAATCGGGAAGATACACCATATCTGGCCACTGTGATCTATTTGGGGTACCGAAAACACCGAATATCTTTCCTAGTTGATCCATCAGTATTTCCTTACAGAAATTTAGTTTTCAGATCAGAACACGATAGTTGAAAAGTAACGAATTCAAATTAAGTACATCGGCTAAGATCAGGCTAGATTTATACCACTCATAAAAAAATCGGTGAAGATTAAGCATTGAGTGGAAAAAATGTCATAGTAAGATAAAACTTTAACCTGCAGGAAAGGCCGGCGTAGAAGTAGTTCAGCAATATACATGCTGCAGCCCACACATCTACCCTTGGACCATATTGCTTAGCGCCGAACAGCAGCTCTGGATCTGTTGGAGTACTCTCAACTTGCTTACTCTATTCTATTATTATTATTGTCGGAGTACTCTCAAGTTCTTTGTATTTTATACACGGTGTAATATGTATAGATGTTTATCTCATCCGATTTTTTTGAATAAATTTGTTAGGATAATTACTAAAACTAGTGTGTAGCCCGTGCTATGCACGGGTAACAATATTAAATATTGATTATAAATAAGTGTCGAGTTTGAATCACCCAACGAAAGAAGTGGGGAACCATTATTGATCCTCTTTTAGAAGAGCAAGAAAAAGTTATTATAAATTAAATATGAGGGTAAACAATATTGAATAATAATTATAAATTAAAAATGTGAGGTTAACATGTGATATGATTTGCCCTATATCAGTATATTATACGCCATAAAAACTTAGCTTGTACAGGAGAACATAAAATTCAAAGTGATAATAATATTTGAAAAAACTTTCTGTGCTATGTTCTTGATCACAAAGTAGTTCGGTTGTTGTCTCAAGACTTGGAGCCTGACCCACACCTTGCTGAACTGGTGATGAAGATAAAGGAGCTAGCAAAATGTCATTTAATCTGCTCCTTTCATTACGCTACTGACTTGTTTTAGATGTTGTTTTTTATCTTGTTTGGTTCTGTATTAGTATTGGTATGTTCATCCTTTTCTAGTTCTATTTTCCTAGTTTATTTTCGGAGGGGTGTCGTTTGGGCATTCCCATAGGTTGGCCTTGATCTGTTTTTCAGGCTATGTCAATTTGTGGTCAGTTGATTGCTCGATAGTAAGAACCTTCTTTGAGTTTTTATTCAAGTTATTTGCCGGTTTAAAAAAAAAACAATATTTGAAAAAACATTAGGAATTAAATAGTGAAAATTAGCTTCTAGCTTATTTTAAAAAAAATCTTACCACAAATCAGGAATTTATATTACTAATTAAACATACAAAATGGATTTATATTAGTAATTAGACATTAGAGTGAATTAGTTTTTTTTTTTTTATTTTTAAATTATTAGTTATTATTTTAAAAAATCAGTTACAATAGATAAGTGATCAGATTTTCAAATTCACTCCGATGGATTCTGTAAGTTTATAATGGCATGCGATGGGATGATATTGACTTTTTAAACTTACAGGAATGATATTTTTTTAAGCTTGTCGAAACAATTTCCAGATTTATATATGGGATTCTGTAGGTTTATGATAGCATGCAATGGGATGATATTGACTTTTTAAACTTATCGAAATTTATGGAATGATGCCGAAACAATTTCCACATTTTAAGGTCAATATTTAATGCTGCCCGTATTTAAGTTAAAAAAGAATTGCCATGAATGGCATGTAATTAATGCTAGGGAGTTTGACTAAGATTTGACTTACTATTTTTAAAAAATGTTAATTCTTATTATATATGTATAGATATCACGTGTTTAAAGGACATTCCGTCCAATCTGTACCAAACTAAATGCCTTGAAAAGTGGAAATAAGTTCACACCAAACTAATGCCGTGTTTAAAGAACTGCTCAAGATAAAGTTTATTAATTTTCGGATTTTTAAAAGACTTTCCACAAATGGGAAGTCAAAGCCTTTTTGACCAATTTTTTTAAACTTTCCATAAATTATTTTTCTACCTCTCTTTTTCAATATATATAGATTGTATTTCACAAAGGCCTTGGCACACCTAATTATTTGCGGGTATATATACCCTGGACGTGGGACAACAAGATATCATGATTCTTCATTCTAGCCTTTAAGGCTTCAATTTACCTTTTTCCTTTTGTTCATGTCTTCAATTTACTTTGACCTAACGAGTCCCTGCTTTCAGTTTACCAAAATTCCAACCCCTTGACCACGTAACAAAATGGAAAAAGTTGTGAAAGAAGACAAGCTCGACCCATGACAATTAAAGCTCTTACACACCGAAAGGTACCACTTTTGTTCTTGTATTCTTTCTTTACTGAAAAAGAAGTCTTTCTCTAACAGACAACCAAAATTCATTGTATCGGGTTTTCATCGTCTTTAAAGACACAAATGCAAGCAAGAACAAATAAGTAAAACAGGAGAATCATAACCAGATGTGTACAATTTAAATAGATCAATGTTTTTTCCAATTGAGTGAGGGACATCCAGTAATTTGGGGTAAAAGATCAATATGATGGGTACCAAAATTTATACCAACAGCTTGAGCAATTAATTAAACTTTATCGAGTGGGATTGCAGGTCGATTTGCCCTCCTCGATAGCTACCGCACTTCTTTTTTGTTTTCTCATGTCGGAAGTCCCTTCATAAGACAGAAAAGGAGGGGCAGAAATGTCAATAACATCACAGCTCTCGTAGCTCAATTCCAATATATATACATGCGTGCGTGTGCATTTGTTCGGCACAATGGCTATGACCCAGTTAACTTAAAAAAATTGACGAAAGTTTCTTGAACTACTCAGAATAGATTTGAACCCTTCCCACTAGGAGATAAGTTTTATATACTGATTTATTCACCAACGCTTTCTTTTTCTGGATTTATATTAGTATATAGAACAATCAATCCATTGAACCAATCTAGTGTTATTGAGGTATTCTTAAAGAGAGAAGATGCAAACATATTGCCATGGTAAACTACACCTAGATAATTCAGCCTTACTAACATATACATTTCAATCTATATAATAGTTTATTTTCATGGCAACGGTTATTTAATTTATTTTTTTTATTATGTGAGGAGCAGAAGACTCATGTAGACGCATATATATCTATATAAATTTAGCACGGTGGTTTGTAAAAATTCCACAACACCATAACGCGATGGCCACCTTATAACACTGGCGGTTTGTAAAAATTTCAAGTGTCGTCCTGGACCACAAAAAAGATGATCAACAACAGACTCCAGCATGCAAAGAACACTTCTGAAGAAACAAATCCATGCCCAGCAATCAATTACTAAATTCGAATTAACCCACTGACAAATCACAACTTACAATATAAACCTCTATAAACTGCATTTTAGCTCGAGAAGTCAAAATGAGACATTATTAGCTCCATTAACTAAGGAATCAAAACTAGGAACAAATTTATCAGGTGATAGCATGGGAACAAGCACACATAGAGACAAGACATACAGACACGCTGGACGCCATAAATAGACCTCAATTTGAGCTGCGGAGAGGAAGCGCTTGAGGACTTTGGAACTCCCATGACGGAGAATGTCAGAACAGACTCGTCCTCGGGCTTCAACTTGTCCGGGTTTTCGGGTTTGGGCTTTGCCATAGGTAAGGCACTGCTACGCGCCTCTGCTGCTGCTCTAAGAGGACAACTTGGCGAGGCTTGAATACGAACAGGGACGATAAGCTAGGGCTTACGTCACCGTCCCCGGGCATAAAAGAGGGGTGTCTGTATATGTCTGAGAGTGTGTGGAAGCTGAGTTGTGAAACTCGGTCAGACGGCTTGGTACTTGGTTAGTTGGCAGGTTGGACTAGGCAGCCTACAATTTGGATTAGGCCGATTTGATTAATCGACCGGATTAAACGTCAACTTTTGTCTATATTTTAACAAGATGATGAATTCGTTTACGTTTGCCTATTTCAAAAAGGCCGAATTGGTTAACCGGAGGAACCAACCTATTTACGGGTTAGCTCCAACTAAGCGGGTCAACAAAATAAGTTATATTAATGGGAGATTCTATAATCGGGATTGATAATCGTTACCTCAACTATTCACGACGGTTACATGATGATGTAACGGTTACAAATCCCAACGAAATGGTTCCGTAACGAGATTGTAGCATTTCCTTATATTACTATCAGAAATTATGAATGAATAGAAAATAAAAGAATAATAATTATAGTTGAAGCTCCATACATATATGTAATAAAAAATTTATTATATTTGAAAAGAAATGGCAATTCCATTAATTAATTGCGTCCAACCCAAAGTTAAAAGTTTGAATATAAAATAAAAATATGAATATATATTTAAACATTTAATATATTATGTATATAAATATATATACGGATTGTATTTAATATATATTATATGATTAAAAATTTATATTTCACATAATGTATTAAAATTTCTATAATTAATGTTAATTATTTGAATATTCGATATTATCGAATGGACTATTATGTGTACACTCCTGAAATTGAATTCATAAAAAATTTCAGAAATACAGAATTCAATTATGTAATGGCATCCCCAAACCAAATTTATTTTAATCTGGAAAAGAGGGTGTACTTATCATTCTACTTCTACGTGTCCATGATTGCACACACACACATGTTAGGAAATAAATTAGAGTAAGATGGATAAGAACACAAAACTATGAAAAACGAAAAAGAACACACGAATTTGTTAACCCAGTTCGCATATAAATCCTGCGTCTGGGGGCGATACCAAGCCAGGAGAAAACACTCAAAGAGGAGGAAAAATGAAGAGTACAACACACACACACACACACATGTATGTAACGTCTTTACAACAAGACAACACTCTTTATCTCTCGACTCAACTCTTTCTTTTTCTCTCGACTACACAAAGAACTTAGATATTTTCTTTATATTTCACACTCTTACAAACAAGATTATGCAAGGTATATATAACCAATATTTAGGCTAGCATCTTAGGAATGCTTGAGAACAATTCTTGGTATTTCCCGTGCTCCCTTCCTAAGTTATCCTTTGTACAAACAAGAGGCTTAAGCTATCTTTTGCACAAGAAGCCTAAGTTATCCTTTGCACAAACAAGAAGTCTAAGTTATCCTTTGCATAACCAAGAAGATATTTGGTGATGCATCTTCACACCATAACAACACACGCGCACAC